CATATTAAATCATTACAACTTACCATGTATTTGTGTGAAGGTAGAGTAAATGACTATAACACCTACTTACACAATTGCTTTGTTTTTGTCTATGTTGTTGGTATTTTGCTATTGTTATTATAGCAATTTTTCTTTAAAATAAGAAAGACATGGGGAAAAAAAAGTAATGCAAAACAAAGGCATTGGGGATTAGATTTACAAGCAGAAAAACGTCTGTACAAAATCAACCGATTCAGGCAACCGAAGAGCAGAAAAAGAGGGTATTCATGCTGAATTCCCCCTTGTGCAAAGCAGCCATAGAAAATAGGAGAGAATCAATGGAAAGTGAAGAATGAAAATATGTTATGTATGTATACCAACTCCCCACAAGGAATGTAATGATCATCTGCTATACTGCAAACATATTTTAATAAAATAAAAATTATGTTTTTTTTCTGTTTAAGACCATTTAATCTTTACCAGTAAAAACAGATCTAACCTAGAAAATTATTTTAACATAAATTCAAATGATACTATATACACTTTCATTTGTAGGTTTTTTTCTGATGAATTGATAGCATCAGTACACTAAAATCTGAGATGTAGATTCATTTATTACTCTAACTAGAGGAAAACAAAATGTATCAAATACCTGGATACTAAAGCATAAATATTTAATTTTCCCGGAGATAAAAAAAGGAAAACTCTTAAGATCATAAGCTGAGGCAAGGAGTTTTTGAACAGAATCCCAGCCGGCTGGGTTTCAAGATGTGATATGTACCCTTACCAATTCCCCACAATGAATGTATTTATCATTTATTGAAAATATATACCAGTAAAAGAAGTAAGACCAGTCTTTTTCCCAGGAGTAGGAATATTCTTTTATTTTCATCCCATCACTATAATTTACCCTCAAAGAAAATTATTTGTTTGTAGAAATCTGATTTCCAGTCAATAAGCATGATCTACTCCATCAGTATACTTTTAAATTACTTGTTGAATCATATGTTGGGCAGGACATTGGCTACATAAAAAATAATGAATTTTCTTTCTTTCTTTCTTTCTTTCTTTCTTCTTTCTTTCTTTATTTCTCTCTTTCTTTCTCTTTCTTCCTTCTTTCCTTCCTTTCTTTCTTTTTTTCTTTCTTTCTCTTTCTTTCTTTCTTTCTTTCTTTCTTTCTTTCTTTCTTTCTTTCTTTCTTTCTTTCCTTCCTTCCTTCCTTCCTTCCTTCCTTCCTTCCTTCTTTCTTTCTCTCTTTCTTTCTTTCTTTCTTTCTTTCTTTCTTTCTTTCTTTCTTTTTTCTTTCCCTTTTTTTTCTTGTTTGTGTTGTGTTTAGAATCAAACCCTGGGCCTTACTTGTGCTAGGCAAGTACTCCACCACACAAATATGAGACAATACAAGTTCAGCAAGAAATACAAGAAGAGATTAGAAGACATTTCTTAAATAGGGCTCAAGATTTCACAGGTCTTATAAAGAAGACAAGTGCCAACAAATCCCTGAGTCTGAGATGATCAGGTTGACTTTTCTAAACTGTCTTTTCTTTTTTGGTAAGAAATTCATTTTTTCTTTTAAAATTTTTATTAGTACACACTTGTGGCACATAATGATAGCATTCATTATAGGGAATTAGTACAAGTACACAACATATCTCAATTTTTTATTCCTCTTACCCCCAACCACCCTTTTTTGCTAGTATCAGATTTATTCATTTATCTTAGAAGTCCATATACAGTTAATTATCATAAAAACAGATTGACAACTAGGCTAATATGCCAAAAAGACATATAAAGCACATAAGACAATTATACTAAATCAATGTACACTTTTTGATATGTTGTCCATGCTGGATTACAATATATTTTTCTTTCTCTTTATTTCTCTTGTCTTTGATTTTGTATTTTAATTATATATTGAGTTTTGAATATGAAAGAGACCATGTGATATTTAAACTGTGTCTGATTTAATTCACTTATCATTATAGTCTCAAGGCACACCCATTTCCCTACAAATGACCCGTTTATCATTCTTTTTGGTACAGTAGTACTCCACTGAGTATAAATACCACATCTTCTTTATCTGTTCATCTGTTGATGGATATATAGGCTGCTTGCAAAATTAGGTATTATGAATTGTGCTGCTATAAACATACATATGCATATGTCACTATGGTATAATGACTTTAACTCTTTTGGAAAGATACCTTGAAGAGGCATAGCTGGGTCAAATGGAATTTCTATTTTCAGTTTTTTGAGAATTTTCCATACTGATTTTCATAATGGTTGTACCAGATAACACTCTCACTAACAGTGAATAAGGATTTCTTTCTCTCTGCCACTTTCCAGCATTTGTTACTGGATGATTTCATGATGATAGCTATTCTTTTGTATAAGATGGAGTCTCAGCATTGTTTTAATTTGTATTTCTTGAATGGCCAGCAATGTTACACATTTTTTCATGAATTTATTGTTTATTTGTAATTTTTGAAATGATTGGTTATGTTTTTATTTAGGCGGCCTCTGTCAATTGACAGGCTGATGTAGTTGTAAAGTCTGGAATACTTTCTCCCTAATAGTATCAGATTCACAAAGCAGAAATGTTTAACATTAAAAAACAAAAACAAACAAATAAATATACCTACCACGTGTAAGTTACAGGATCATAAAAATTACATGTGATAGTCTGAAAAACCAGCATTTACTAGCCCCAGTATTTCTACATTTTTATCCAAGAAATGTCTGTTCACTTCAGATACCCATTTTTGGACTGGGTCTTTAAATTTGAGGGATATAACTTTTCTGATTTATTTATATATCCTACATTTTAGTTCTTTGTCTGAGGAGTAGCTGGAAAAAAATTTCCCATTCTATACTTGTCTCTTCACTCTGTTGGTGGATTCTTTTCTGCTCAGAAGTTTGTGAATTTGATACAATCCCACTGGTTGATCCTTGGTATTATTTCTTGTGCAACTGGGGTTCTATTCAGAAAGTCTTTCCTTATTCCTAATTCTTTCAGAGTTTTATTTATTTTGTCTTCCAACAGATTTACTGCTTCACTGGAGCTTCCTTTCTAGCCAAGCTCACAATATTTTAAATCATTCTGCTGTGCTCTTTGTTCTTGACTCTCAATGCATCTCTGTTTAAAAGCCCCCAACAGTAGCCATGGCACCACCTTAACATTCAACTGCCTTGAAATTTGTTTTGCAAATTTAATTATTACACTACCTTTAATCTTAGTTTCAGGCAAAATCTCTGGACATGAGCAAAATGAAGACAAACTTTTACCACACCATAACACACTTCATCTGGAGTCCAACAAGCATTGCAGTCCTTCTTCCCAGCAGATACCTCCCAAGCCCAGTCTTTACCTAATGGATTTCTATCAACCTTCTGCTCTTCTGAGCTCTGTCCAGAATCTTCCATACAGAATAGGCTAAGGCACTCCAGCTGTACTTTTTTACCAAGCATCTCCAAAACCTTTCCAATCTTCCCACAAGCCATTTCCAAAGGCTCATAAACCACATGATCAGCTATAGTCACAGCAATGATCCCACTCCTGGTTCCAAGTTTTGTTTTAGTTACTTTTCTCTGATCACTTGTACAAAATATCCAACATCCAAAGTTGAAGAGGTAAAGATTTATTTAGCTCACTGTTTGTGGAGGTTTCTGTCCCTAATCAGCTGGCTCCAAGGCAAGGTGACATAGCAGAGGGGCAACAGTTCATAGCAGCAGAAGATGCAAAAGCAACAGGAGAAAAAAAAGGAGAAGAAAGCCTCTTTTCCTCCCTTATATTGTATGCAAGCTATCCACCCTAGGGTGAGTGAAGCACTCACACTACAAATCCAGCACTAGACAATGAACCAATCACAAACTCAAGATTCAGCCACCTCCACAAAGCCCACCCTCAATGAGTGCATGATGTTTTGGTGGGACATCCAGACACAAACCATAACAGACCCCTTGTGTATTTTGAATATTAATTTTCTGTCAGAAGAGTAGCTGGAAAATGTGTTCTCTCATCCATTAGGCTCTCTCTTCACTCTGTTATGTCCTTTACTATGAAGAGTTTGCTAATTTGATTTACTCTTAATTTGATCTGTTCATGTTCTTGACAGTGTTCTGACAGGAATTAAATTAAGTGTTCTTGACAGGACAGGAATGTTTCAAATAAGCAATAAAATATATTCATAATTCTTAAAATTATTACAAATCTATTCATTGGTTTATCACTGGCTATATTGTTAAAACTAAGATTCTTAAATAATTTCTGTACCCTTGACAGTAATTTATAAGCAAATAAATTCTTTGGTTCATTAGTTTCTTATTTTAAATTGGAAAAATTTATTTTGCAGAAGTTGTAGAAATTGAAATTATCAATACATTTCTCAAAATAGTACTTAGATTCAAAAAAAATCATGAATTTACACATTATGATCAAAAACATACATTAAAATGATGTGTAAATGGTAACTTATTATTGTAGAAATTATTCAATGTAATCATGTAAATTTCTATCAACATTATAGATTTCAATCTATATAAGGCGATATCAATATCACTTCACCCCTATTTCTCTAAACATACAAATACAAAAATTTAAGGTTAATATAAATATGTTGATATATAAAGTGTTCTTCAATTGCTAATTATAACTTTTTCAAATGTCTCACTAGTCCTGAATACTTCTATAGTTACAATTTTGAATAAAAATAAAAATGTAAAAGAATTAAAGAGAATAATAAGTAATAAAAAACATTAGAAATGATACAGAGCTTCATTAAATAAGATGGTAGGAATTCAACAATGTTCCCATCATCTTGTTTTGAAATCCTGTATCATTTTTAAATTGTTTTTGTGTTTTTTGTCTTCATTGTTGTTATTTTGTTATTGTTTTCTCTGTTTAAAATTTTTAAAAATGAAAATGTATACACAATCCTATTGATAGCTACATTTTGGGCTGGGGATCTAGCTCAATGGCAGAAGCACCTGCTTGGCAAGTGCAAAGTCCTGAGTTCAATTCTCGGCACCAAAAAAAAAAAAAAAAAACCCAAGTAGCTACATTTTGTTATCCAAAAATCTGTTGCATTTATAAATATTAGTAATGTTGATAAAGCAATTAACAAATATTCTCAGTTTAAAAAATTTCTGTAAAGTATAAATTTAGGGATATATACCAGGCGAAACAATATCATACCCTATAGGTAAAAATATTTTAAAGCCCCAAACAAAACCAAAAATAGTTATATCCATTACGAAAAGTATTTTATAACATGGTATTGGAGGTAATAGACATTGCATTTGCATCATTATTATAGGCAATGCAGGTGTTCTGCTTGACCACCAAGTGTGTGAAATGTAATCACTTCTATGAGTGAGATAGGAGGGAGTCTATTAGTTCCACTCTAATCAAGTGAGATTTTCTCCTCTAAACACACAATATCAGAAGAGAGATTCAAGGAAAAGTTTAGGTAAATACAACTGCAGTGTTCTCCTGTAAGTTTTATTACTATACTTCTCATTGGTTTACCATTATACCTACAAAATGAACCAAAGTCTACTTCTACTAGTTCTTCTTCACCTTGATTATACATTAACCCTCTTATACTTCTATCTCCTGAAACTATTTACTCTCTGGTACTTTCAGAAATATTTATCAGCCCCGAATCTAGAAATACACAATCTCCACCATTTTGGCTATGTTCCTGATGCAATTTTATGAATCTCAGATTGTTCTTCTTACATTGCTGAGAATACAAGCATTTTACACAGGTTTACAATAATTTTAAATTATTAGCAGTTATTGAAATATAGATTGTGGATGGATATAATGATCTTACATTCACATGAGCAGCCAGATTGCCTTAATAAAAAAAATTCTTTACACAGCTTTGGATTTCAATAAACAATGAAGCAACCATGAACTATTAGGAAATATTAGGGACCTAACTGTATTTAATTTCAATTTTAGGTCAGAGGGCAGCATCTAATTCTGCTGGACTTTTTTGTTAGCAATTTTTCCTTTGGTAGTTGCTATCATTGAGAGTTGTAATGATGGTGGAAATTTTAGGGCTTCTATGGGTGTATGTTTACTTATCAATTATAGGACTCTCAGGGGATGATATTTCACTCAGTGGAAATCAAGACATTATCATTCTTGTTTATCTTGATTTTTTTTGCAATAACTTCCTTTTTACAGTAACAGAACAAAGTCATTCTTCCATGAAAACCAAGAGAAGGTGCAGGAAACAAATTTACTTCTCCACTTCATAGTTATACCCATTCTTCTCATAATTGACTGGTCGTCCCTGGAATGAGGTGCTTTCTGAGAAATTTCTGGATCTCCTTCCAAGCATGTTCTTGTGCGGCTGCATGTGGGATAACTTCTCCTCCCCAGTGAATGGTTGGCACCACAAAAGGGATCCTGGAGGCACAACACAGTGGAGAATAGGGGGGTTCTATCAGGTGGCCAGCCCCAGGGTAAGACAGTAAGGTCCAGTTGTTCTTCCCATTTCTCCGCAGCTGTTCAGTGGCTTGTGCAGCATGTACTTTGCTGTTGAGATTCTTATCTTCCTCTCCCACAATGAAGAGGAAATGTCCCTGGGCCTTTTCAATAGGAAGGAAAGACTGGCTAATCCCAATTTCACTTTTTGTATACATGTGATAGAACTCTGCAAATCCCAAGGCATTGATGGATTTATACTCTATAGAGAAAATTGCAGGCTGAATGATCTGACCATGGTATATGTGTGGGTTACCAATAATAAAATTAGGCCCATTAATAAGCACTGTTGCTGTGATTTGTTTTAGATGAATTGCCATAGACAGTCCAATCTCTGCTCCTTTAGATGTGGAGACTATCCCAAGACCTGTGCCAAAGACCTGGAAATAAGGAATATGAGATGTTATTCTGTCCTTCAATTGGAAAAACCACAGGATCAGGCAATAAAAGAACTTCAATGAACAATGCAAACAAAGCATATAGCCCATGCCTATTTGCTCTTATATTTCATGTCTAGAACTGCAGAACATAAAACATACATACAAAAGAATTACTCTTTCAAAAATGTATCAGTCTTCACTAACTAAATAATATGGATTCACCATTTTGACTGATTCTCAGTTTAATATACTAATGAAAGTGTCATGTTACTAGTCACCCATTTGGACAGTAGATAGCTCCCCTTGGATTATGGCTTCAGAGGTCTCTTAGTACCTGAACGACTGAGCAATGGGAAATGAATCCTAGATAATCAATTCACTAGGTATCCCTTCTCCAGCAAAGGGTATAAAGGATCTCTTCCAAAGTGAATGTTTTATAATTTTGCAACCTTGATGCTTTGAAGGGTAGGGCCTTCCTGAATCCTGAGATGCCATCAATCTACTTTTGTATTATCCTAATGCCAAATACTTGGCTTCTTCTTACAGCTAATCTTTCCAACATAGTATTCTCTTTTGCCTCAGTTTTTTAGATGACTCTTTTGTAATGAAACTTCAAACTTTTAACAGCTGGAGTTTTTCTCCTTTCACTGGAGATATGGCTAAACACAGCTAGCAAGACTTGTGCCAAAGGGTGAACACTGGGCTGTTTGGAAATTTCCTGCAGCAGATTATTTAGTCCACTGACTTTAATCTTGATCTCTTAAAATGTCACAGGACACAGGCAAATAAAGACAAATTATCTGCCAGTGTGTAGCTTACATGTACTTTAGCTTAACTGCCAATAGAGTCCTTGTTTTCAACTGAAATCTTCTAAGCTTGGTCTTTACTACATGCATTCCAAATAATATTCTAGTCTTCTAAAATCTAACTAGAATCCTCCATACATTTCAGCCCACAGCCTTCTCGATTGTCTCTAACCCCCTTTATGAAAACTTTTCAAATTCCTCCCATAAACCAGTACCATAAGGTAAGATTTAGTCACAGGGATGATTCCCATTCTCTGTTACCAATTTGTTATTAGTCACTGCCCCATCACTGGAAAAGATTTCTGTCATCTACAAGTTAAAGGAGAAGAGGTTTCTTTTGACTTTTAGTTTCAGTTCACAGTCATCTGAATCGAAGGCAGAAATGATATGCTGAAGGGCATGAAGGAGGAAAGATGCTCAAGCCACATCATTATGGAAGAAGATAGCAAAGGGTGGAGTTACTGAGAAGAATAATCTTTCCTGGTCTGCTTCTAGTGACCTAACTCCAACTAGGTCTCATCTCCTAAGAACACATTCAACTACTGAATTCATCAGTGGATGAATACGTTGATGAGTATGGTGCCTCTGTAATCTAATCACTCTCCAAAAGGCTCACCTCTAAAACCATGAGACTTTTAAGAGCCATCCTAGATTTAAACTATGACATCATCAATGTAGTAAGGAAATTAAGTAAAATTCATGTAGTATTGTGACTCATATGAATCTAGTTATAATAGATCAGTAAACTCTACTGCATAAGTTCTGACCTCTATAGATGGTCAAATGAATGGACGTCAAGTAGGAAGATGTTGAGAATGGAGGTAAAAGCCATATAGAATTTTGCAAAAGTCTCTAGACTTGATTTTTTTTCTTTAACAGGCCAGCCCAGCTTCCTTTTCATTGTCGATGATCAGATAAATATTTTAGATCACCCACTTTGTCCCAAAAACCGGGACACTCAAAGAGGTAAGTCACAATTTCATATCATCAAGAAATTCCCTTCCAAGTGACAAGATAGGAGAAAATAACCACAAAATCCAGAAGATTGGATTATTATCAGTTCTATGATAGAAGTGTGCATGAGGACAAATTTTCCAACCCAGAGTGTAAAGAATAAATGCACCATGAAACAAACAGTCGCAGAACTATGAATTGAGTCTTCATATAAAAAATAATTCACAAAGAATTCTATGCTATTCTGATCATATTAGACACTATTAGACGCCTATACAATAACCATTTTCTACAATTTGAAGCCTGAAATGTAGACTTTGTGAGGCAATTGCGTTTTGTTGCATACTTTGGGGCTCTATTATAAGGCCAGTATATTCTACCAGAGATAAGATACAAGAAATAAAGATAGAAAAAAGACAAAAAAATCATAATTTTAAGATTATGATTTTTTAAAAAATTTCAATTTGAGGCACAAATGTTACTCAAAAATTTTCTTCTTTCAGAAAACAGACTCCAAAAAATTCCCTCAGGCTTTTGAAATTACAATAACTCCATAAACTGGACTCTGGGTCTATGCTTTTATCCTGAAAATTATGCCTCCTCCCACACTTCCATCCTCAAGAAAGCACACTATTAAACATGTGTATATATCAGTTTCAAACACATGTAAATAATTTACACTCCAGTAGCCAAGCCAGTTTGGTAACCAGTAAGACAGTAGGAATACACACCATATATCCTGCATCCTGACAACACTTCAAGACCATATACATCTCCTTCCATAGGCCATAATGCACCTCTGTCTTGAGGACCCACAGTGAACTCTCTCTGAATGTATGTTTTTAAAATTCTGCCTAATAAACCTCTTTATGCCTCTCATCGATGCACCTGGAAATTCCTTTTCTGTGAAGGAAGTCAGAAAACCTTCAATTTCTCTGTGGGTCGGGCGAATTGATATTCTCATATCTTCATTGGAAGACTTCCTTGGACACTACCCGTGACATCCCTAAGAGTGCATAATGACACAAAATTATGAAGAAAAAACCTGTGTTGTTGATCAATCTTTTCATCCTAGGATGCTGGCATGATGATTAAATACCTGGCACTGCCATAGCCATCTTATGACCTAGAGCGAAGGATCATAAAATGTAGAAATTTCAATTGTCTCCTTGATCAAAAACTCCATCCTCTAGCTCTGTTAGATGACACATAAAATACCTTATGTTTATGTCTTTTAAACTACTGTCAACCACATTCCTGGGAAAGATAACCAACTTTCACAATGGACTCACCATGTGAGGAACAAGGGCAAAAATTGAGGCAACACACAGCAATGCACTTAGTGAATCACAGGTAGTTCTTCATCGCTGAATTTGAAGTGTAAGGTGGGATACAATAAAATATGGTTAGAAAACAAAGTAGCAACATGAAAATGGGTACTTTTGAAAGCAGGGCAAGCAGCTTTGACTATTTTCCTAACTGAAGAGCACCATTAAGACACCCTTGAAGGCTGGACATAGTGTCTAATAGGCTAGCAAACTTCAATTTTACCTGTAGTAAATGGGGAGAACTTGTGCAAGTGAACAAAACAATTGTGCTCTAAATCACCAATCTTACAACTTCACTTGAAAAAACTGGAGACAGACAAATTAGAGCTTGATGCAGTATAGCCCAGAATTGATGTTGTCTTGATGGGAAGAGGGGAGCACTAGTGGATGTGAACAGGAAACATGTGCATGAGTTGTCAGTGAGTGCAGAATGTGCAGTTCCCAGTCACTAGTTAGGCATGAGAGAGGAAAGAAGAAGAATTTAAATATGTCTCTTGTTTCTGGCACAAAATTCATTTAACACTAATTATCTTTGTTCCCTGGACGCTTGCAAGGTCAGGGTTTCAGACGCAAACATCTTTTTTCTAAAGTCTTAATTTATTTTCCATAGTTTTCTTCATTTATCTCCTACTCTTTCAAAGCATTTGATCAACTAACCTTTGGGGCTTATTTTCCTGCTGTTTAAAAACACATGAATGAATGTACGCATGTCTAGCTAACAAAAATGTGAGAAATAATTTAAGGGGAGCAAAACTAAACAAAAGGAATGGATCATACATACCCTCTATTTTTACCATGCATCTTACAAGTCATGCCTTGAGTCAATTAAGTTTTTTAAAGTTTTGAAGCTCTGCATTTTAAAATTTTGAGTTTTAATTGACAATGATTACATATACTTATAAGTACAATGTGATGTTTTGATACAAATATATGTTGTAGATTAGCAAATACAACTAATTACCATATTTATCACTTCATAAAATCTATTTTCTTTGTGATGAGAACATTTAACCTCTAGTCTTTCAACCATTTTGAAAGAAATGATGTATCATGATTAACGATAGTCTCCATGCTCTAAAACACAAGACCTTCCTCCTGTCTTACTAAAGCCTTATACACTTTGACTAACATTTCCCTTTTCTGAAACCCACCTCTGTCTCAAAATTCTATGCCCTCATATAAAAACTAGTCATGGTTATAGCAAGGAAACATAGAAACACAGTGTCCTTGGCCATGAAAGATCAAGTAAAACTATTAGATTAAGGAACAAAAACTGGTTACCATATTATGTGCAGATTTTGTATAATTTATTTCAGATCTTTGGAAGAAAGGTAAATCTTCTTCTAACTTCTGCTACCAAATTTGAGATCAAGGAATGTAAAGCTGATAGAAGTCACTTAAAATCAGTAAGTGGAGAAATATGACCTACAGTGAAGTGAGTGAGCTCTGGTCAATCATCCAGCAGCAAAGACTGTGTGAAGCAGGATGGAAATACTCAGAAGCTGAGGAAGAAAGCTGGTTAATCCCTAACTAGCTTACTATGCGACCTTGCAACAGCACTGATGGATTAGCCATGGAAAAAAGCACCAAACTGAAATGAAAAACAGAATCATATAACCTCCCCATTTCTCATCCAAAAAGACCACCGTAATGGTAACAGAGCCTATCTAATAATGCAGGGACATTCACATTATATGCATTCAAAATAGACATTTAAAGATTTAGTGTATCAGTAGATTATAAGTGCTGTTTATCTTATTGAAATCCTCACTATATGTCTCTTATTCTTATAAAAAAATTTTACTACTTAGATTATTTTACTAAATTTAAAAAAATGAAAAATTAACAAGGAATAATATCACTAAAGCTATGTGTAGTGGATTGATAACTGGTGGTCAACTGATAACCCCCAGCTGAACTGAGTAAGTATGGTGCTGAGTATGGGAGGCCCACCTGAGGACTGTTGCCAGCAGCATAAGAGGCAGAACTGGAGAAGGAAAAGAAAGGCTGTTGGGAACTGAGAGAAGCTGCTGGGAGCTGGTAGAACCTGTAAGAAGCTGTTGGTCCTTTTGGAGGAGCTCATCATGCTGGCTTTCCGGATGAACTTGACTGTTTTCATCCTCCGAGGAGCTCGGGACCTTGCTGGCACTGAGAATGGCTTTGGTTCACTTTAGGGAAACTCTGGTCCTCACTTTGAGCATCACTTCCTGGCTCTGGAGGGGAAGATGGTGCACTGCTGGTTTCCTGGAGAAGCTTGCTATGTTGCCTTTCCTGATGGGAACTCAGCCGTCTTGATCATTGGAGGAGCTCAGGACCTCACTGTTGCTGAAGATGCCTGTAGTACCCTTCAGGGGTGCTCTGGTTCTTCTGAGTTTCACTTCCTGGCTCCAGTGCAGATCCCTCAGCCTGCTAGCACAGGTCCTTCATCCTGTTGGCACAGACTTCCTAGGTTTTGCCACTGACCTTTGGGCCTTCCCAGCACAGATCTGTGAAACAGTCCTACATGAGACACTGTCGTGGGCTCTAGGCCTCCAGTTGGATTCGTGGGAGGCATTGTTATGAGCTCTAGGTCTTAAGCTGGACACATGCAGGACATTTCTATGGGATCCAGGCCTTCAGCTGGATTCCTTGGTCTTAGTATGTGGACAGATTTTCTGCACTCTTTTGTATATCATTCTTTGGGTGACTATTATAATCATATAAAATATGTTCCCAAATTATATAGTTTCACCTTGCACAATAATCCCCAAACCAACACATTATGATAACAATGATGCACATATTTTAAGATTTATCAAATGTACATAAGTAGGCAATTATTACTGTATTAAGTACTGTTATGTAAGTCAAGATTCAGACCCATTCTACAATGAAATGCATTCTCTCCCTGATTAAATATGGTGATGAAAAGATAATGATGATGATAGTGATGTTGATGATAATAGTGATGATAAATTTTTACCAGTGTTTAATGTTTAGAATAATCAAGTACTATTCTAATCTTTTTGTGTATATAATCCCTTCAAGTATCACTATAACATTATGTAATAGTTACATACAATACTATGTACACCATGAAGAAACACTAAAGGTGATAAGGTATAGTCTAGTTAACTGCCCAAATTCCCTCAACCACATGAGATGAAGCCAGAAATACACCTCTTTCTTGTTGGAATTCAAAGTAAATGATCTTGTTATCGTGTGGTCACAGGCTTGCTTCTTTTGCATTTGTTTTAGTGAGTAAAAGATACTGGGTAAAAAATAAGTAATAAAGCAAATGAGGATATATAATAGAACTTCAAAGATACCTGAAGTTACAGAATATTATGGTTGTTTAAAACTAGGAATAAAGTCATAGAGAAAATGAAATTACCTTAGGATGGCTCAGGAGAAAGTTTACAGCTTCCTCAAAATAGTCTAACTCCACTTTCTCCAGTATGGTAGGCAGATCATCATAGGCCAAATAGGCCAAGGCCAAGGAGACAAAGCCATGACTGGCTAGCAAACTGGCCCGGAATTCAAGCAGTCCACCGGTACCACCAAACAAATCAATTACCCCTGGGAAAGGGCCCTCTCCTGAAAAAGAACAATACAAAATGGACAGCGTATGAAGTGATGGTGAGGAAAACTTAGTAAGAATGTGAATCCTAGGAAAAAGTGCATTAGATATGTGGAATTAATGCAAAATTGTCAAACAGAATCTCAAACCTTAGGCAGAACTAAGGCCTCATAAATATATGAGAAGCAGAGCATCCAAAAGCTTTGGAGGAAACCAGGTACTAGCATGTTAAACCCTGCAGCCATGAAAAGTGGGGTTCACCTTTATAATCTTATATTAAAGAATATCATAAAAATGGAGTGAAGGCTTCTAATCTATAAAAGGTACAAAAATAGTGTTCAGGATATCTATAAGGACCCCCAAAAAATATGCAACATTTCATTTATATATTCATATATATATATATATGAATATATATTAATATATGGATCTTACTGATGAAAAGTGCCATGATTTTGATTTTGAATGGCCCATCAAGGCCTATGTGTTAAAGGTTTGAACCCTAGGTGATATCGGGAGGTGCTGGAACATTTAAGGAGTGGGACTTCATGTGAGTCTCCAGATCACTCTGGCGGTACCCTCAAAGGGGATAGTGTCACTCCAGCCCATTACTTTTCTTTTGTCTTCCTTTATGACCATGAGGTGAGATTTGCTTCACCAAACAGTCCTGCAATGATGTATTGCTTTTCCCAAAGCAAAAGGGCCAAGTAAGTAATGATGGACTAAAACCCTGAAAACTGTGACCCAAAATAAACCTTTTCTCTTTATAAAATGATTATCTCAGGCATTTATTATATAATGAAGAGATGACTGATGTAAGATGTGGTTCAATAGATTTAACTTGGTTCTCAAAGAAGATAACGGCTCAATTATTTTTTGATGATGACTTTGGCTAAGACACTGATAAAATGCCACTCTGTTACACTCGTATGACTATGCACTGATGAAATTCTCCTTGTAAGTAGAGGCAAATATTGAGTCCTTTTATCCAAGAATACTTTTCATTCTTTGAGGTATAACACATAGTAAAAAGCAGGGATGGGCTAAGTATTACTCTACAGTCACCTTTTTGCAGGCAACTTATTTCCAAAATAAAGCAGAATCCATAGACTAAAATAAATATACAGTGAACTTACTGAGAGTATTCTGCTATATATGACTTCACTAAGGAAGACTGACCTCATCCAGGTTTAACAGAAAGGCTTAATTTTTAATGACTATAGTGAACTTTTTAAGAAGTACTCTATTAAATAAAATGAAAAGTACAATAGTTATTGCAAAAGGGAAAGAAACTTCTCAATAAGAAAGAACAATTGGGATGAGAGAAGGAGAAAAGAAAGAAAGAAAGGAGGAAAAATATATATACTCAAGATAGCTAAAATAATCGTGCTATTCATTTCTATTGGTTTATTGAAAGGGACAGTTAATACTTATTAGTTTGATCAATCTTGCATTCCTATATCTGGTAATCTGAGCAACTATTTTGAAGATAGCAATAATTAATAAGTAATAGAATTTCCAGAATGGAAGTAGTAGGAAGGAAATCATGAAACAAAGGAAGAACAGAGCATCTTCCAGAATTAAATTAAAGATGAGACTTCCAGTTAGAGGCTGCCTAAATACTAATCTTATATATTTAGACATAATGTTATAAAATTTTCTCATTAAATATCCTGACAGTTTCCAAAGGGAAACATTCTAAATTGGTGTCAGACGTCCCATAAGTCTGACACCAATTTTCTTTTGTCTTCCTTTATGACCATGAGGTGAGCAGATTTGCTCCACCAAACAGTCCTGCAATGATGTTGCTTTCCCAAAGCAAAAAACAATAACCATTGTTGATTTCCTATCATCTTGTTTTGAAACTCTGTATTGTTTTATACTTTTTGTGTTATTTTGTTTTTATTATTTGCTCTTTAAAATAAAAAAATAAAAAGTCCTCCACTGACCTTCAGAAAACAAGAAATGATATGATACTTAATATATCTTTTTTCAAAAATAGCATTTGAGTAAATGAATAAGGATGTGTTTTATGTCTTCTGATTGACAGAAAAGGAATATACATTTAAGATTGTGGATCCTTATCTAGAAAAAATGATATATATGAGAAATATTTTGATACCTGATTCAATCTCTTTTTGACCCCACACAACACTTTCATTTGACCCACAAAACAAACACCTAAAACAAGTGACCCAGCTTATGCAACGTGCTAAACGGTTCACAAAATGCATACACTGAACCAGAATATCATCCCAACCTGGAAGGCCTACACCAATATACACATGCTTAGCAGAGCAAGGCATAAAGGAACTGCTTTTGTGCTACTTCTTTTGGGTCCCTACTAACCAGAATGTGGTCTATACGCTAATTACTAGGTGTAAAATTTTAGTTTCATCCAAAGAAATGCATCAGTAATGATGAATTTTGAATGGCAAGTTGTTATTCCTCCTACTTCTATAACTTTATGTTGCCAAAAACCATCCTTAATATTTGAAGGGTCTTCAATCCACTTCAGTTCTACAAGTGAATTGTTATATATTAATATAGATAAATAATAGAGATAGACATTGGTCTGAGGAAGGGGAATTCAGACAGATCTGAAATCTGAACCTTCTGACATCTTCTGCGAAATTCTCTTTCCTTCACTTATGCTCATGATGCACTCTGGTCAATAAATATTTTAAATCATTTAGTTGTATTTGGCAGTCACTTCCAGAAAAAATGAGTTGTTCTGGAAGTAATTACCATTAGTGAGCATGCCTAGTTACCTTATGTGTGGAATATTCTCTAAACAGGCAATATTTACCTAGAAATAAAGTGTTTATGAGGTTTTATTTGCAAACATGCAGTCGATCATATCACCAGCTTTTCCTGACAGCAATGCAGTAGTACATACTTAAATGAAAATTCCTGGTTTCCATGAGATTGAGATGATAGTTTTCAGATAGACAGATGCTAGTGCAGACAAACTTAACACGGCTCCAAGGCTTTGGATATCACATAATGTAGGGACTCAATGAACTGTATATAATTAGTGTTACACAAGCTCCCAAATTATTATACAATTTGCATTAGAGCAGAATATTACAATGTGCTTGTTCTGATTCAAATGAAACTTCACTCTAAGAAAGGAAAATTGGGGATAGGCATTGGGCACATTCAAGATAAATTTCTAGAGCTGTGAGTCATTTCGAGGAGAGAAACACAGGACAACAGTAAGCAGAGTCATTCTCCTCACCTGGAGGGAGAAAGAGGGCTCCCCGGAGGCGGCCTTCCCTCACCGGGATCCGCGTGACACCAGGTGCCACGTACCACCTTTCCACGGTCAGGCTGGCCATTGGAGCACGGGCAGATTCATATTGTACTGGGAAATATGGCTCAAAGAGTTGTAATTGGACCTGGAACGGACTATTCATCACATCTCTTTTCATCAGTCTCGTTAACAGTTTTTCAGGTTTCAAGGACCAGAAGAGCCCCATGGGGTGGACTCCCACATAGTCACCTCCAAGCGCAGCATCACGCTCCAAATCGACCTCACCAGCTTCATTGGCCTTATAGTAGGCCTCAGAACGAAACAGGGACTGCTTTTCATCTGTCAGTGATGCCTGAAGACACACCACCTGGAAAGGACTCAGGCCTGTGACTCGGATCTGCACGGGCTCATCAACAAGCGCGCTCAGAGGAGTAGCTGTCAACTGAACCATGTTTGCAGTGTAGCACCTTGAGTGAGTTTTCAGGAACCTCTTCAGTAAAACCTAAGAATAGGGGGGAAAAAAAAGGAGTAATGGAATAGGTAATGATGAGTTAACGAATTGCAAAATGTTCCAGGAGTAAGACCTCTTAGGATTCAGTTATGGTGATTTGGCAAATATACCATTGTCATCTACTAGTGCAAGATGCCTAGCTACTCTCAACAAATTTTTAGAATGCAGAAAATAAGTCACTGAGGTTCACAGCAAGCAAACAGGATTGAGGAAGTAGCAGTCCAAATGTACCAGAATCATGTCAATACATCAAGAACAACAGAATATCTGCTATGTGGGACTGGAGAAATCAGATATAATGGAGGAGAAGAAAGAGATGTGGGATCAAGAACAATGTACTTTAATGTACATCTCTCTATATAGAACATTTGATGCTCCTGCTAATCATGTGATAAGTTTGGCTAAGGGTTTGTCTATTTTATTTAATCTTTCAAAGAACCAAATTTATATTTTTCTAAATATTAGTCTTCTATTTGAGGAGTAGCTGGCAAAATTTTTTCCCATTCTCTAGACTATCTCTTCACTCTGGTGGTGGTTTCTTTTTCTGTGCAGAAGCTTTCTAATTTGATCTGATCTCCTTCATTGATTTGTATTTAGGACTGGCCTGGCTGAAAGCAAAAAGTACAAACTGAGAAGACCTGCAGGTAGACAGACTTGCTGAACTGTTTACAGCTTCATTCTTAAATAGGGAAAGCCACAGGATGACAACTTTTCTCATGCCTCTCTGCAAACTCAGATTTATATCTATTTGTTTGGTTTTTTCTTCTGCTTTTGTTTGAACTCACTATATTGCAAGAGTGCCAAGAATAAAAATGAAATCAAATCCACAAGTGACAAACCACTTAGAAGAAACAGAATATTCTCTGTTAGGAATATTCTGTCTCCTAAAGATTGTCTGTCAATTGTTATAAAGTATACAGAAAGAAATTGAAGAAGAAAACAATAAAGAAATATCAACAGAAAACTTTACATATTTTTATTAGAGCATATTTTCATTACATATTGTTGTATTAATTGTGGGTAGTTGATATACAAATAACACATTTTAATTTTTATATGCTTTTCCTCTCTTCTCCCTCCCTCCTCCTCCCATCTTCAGATCCCTTTCCCATTGGCCAACAAACTACCTTCCTCTTTCCTACTGTCTATCTCTTATTCTGGTCTTTGCAGTTTTCATATAAGACAAACCAGGTGATGTTGAAGCTTATTTTTTTTTCCAGTACCAGGAATTGAACTCACAACCTTGTGCTTGCCAGGCAGGTGCTGTGCTGCTGAGCTAAATCCCCAGCCCCGATATTGAAGCTTGTATGTCTGATTTATTCCACTTAAAATTATGGTCTCGAGAAGCACTCATTTAGCAGGGCATGGTGGTGCACACCTGTAATCCCAGCACTCGGGAGGCTGAGGCAGGAGGATCTTTGTGAGTTTGGGATCATCCTGGGCTACAAAGTGAGCTTAAGGCCAGCCTGAACTACATAGTGAAACCCTACCCCCCCAAAAAAGAAGCATTCATTTTCCTACAAATGATTCAAATTTATCTTTCTTTATGTCAGAGTAGTACTTTATTGTATATAAATACTTTTTATCATCTTTCTTAACAAGTATTTATTAATATTTTTTATGAATTCAATACTTTCTATCAATTCACACTTTTTAGCCAATTTTATCAATGCTCAAGAAGCATTCACTTTCTTATAAATGATTCAAATTTTCTTTATGTCAGAGTAGTATTTTATTGTGTATAAGTACTTTTTATTAGTCAGTTCATCTGCTGATAGACATATATTCCATATAGGCTACTTCCAAGATTCAGCTGTTATGAGTTGTACTGTTATAAACATGGATATGCATGTATCACTGTAATATGATGTCTTTAAGTCTTATAGGTAAATACTTAGAATATGAATATGAAGGTCAAGAGGAATTTCTAATTTTAGGTTTTTGAGAAATTTCCATACTTATTTCTATAATGGTTGTACTATTTTATAGTCCCATCAACAATGTAGAAGGGTCCCTTTTTTCCCACAGCTCTGCCCGCATTTGTTATTATGATTGCTGGATGATAGTCATTCTTTCTGGACTAAGATGGAATCTAATATTGTTTCTAATTGCATTTCTGCAATGAGCAAAAATGTTGAAATTTTTTTCATTTGCATTTCTTTTTTTGAAAAGATGTCTATTTATTTCTGTTGCCCAGCTTTCTTTTCTTTTTTTTCTGTTGCCTTTTTTTTGAGACAGGGTCTCGCTATGCAGTTCAGGCCTTGAACTCACTTTGTAGCTCAGGCTGGTCTTGAACTCACAACGATTCTCTTGCCTCACCCTCTGCAGTGCTGGGATTACAGGCGTGCACCACCATGTCCGGCTCCCAGTTTTCACTGGGTCTTTCAGTTTGGACTTTTAATGAATGCACAGAGGCCTGCTTGATTGATTAGAATTCTGAACAACTCCAGGAACAAAGATTTTCTCCATTTTCTAATTCATTATTTGACTTCATCATGTTCTCAATGACAGTACATCAAAGCTGAGAGCAAAAATTTTTCTATACCAAGCTGAGATAAATCCATCTGATAAATTTTAGGCTTTCATACAAAGCAAGGTAGCTACCTTCCAAAGGAGGAGGGCAAAGGACCAAAGAATTGTCCCATGTTCAGGTGACACAAAGCATGATTAAAGAGCAAGGGAAATTATTTAGTGATCCTCCTGCCAGAGACTGTAAATCAGAATTTCCCACACTTTGAAAAGCTCAGAAATTGTCATAAAGCACAAAGATCAACTGGCAGTCCATTAATGCTGCTGCTGATAAAGGTCTAATCCCACAACCAAGAATATTAGAAGTCAGTTGTACACTGAATTAAAGCTGTGGCAAAGCATAGACCCAGCTCAATCACAGCTTGGAATGATTAGCCCCCAATGCCAACATTTTCATAACATTTTTATAGAAGTACACCATCTTCTGAAGGGAATTTTTTCAGTCACTGTTTATAAACAAAATATCCAGTATCAATTTTTAAAATTTCTGAGGCACAAGAGAAATAAAATATTTTGGCTTGTACTCTTAACAAGAAACAACCAGTAGAATAAAAGCAGAAGTAGCCAGTTCTTGGGATTATCATACAAGAAATGGAACGTAAAAGGCCAGGAAACACAAGGACAGCTCCATTCAGAGTACCCAAACTAAACAAATAAACAAAAGTATAAAAATGTAAAAGAGAAAGCACTTAAGGTATTGATGGGAGACACTGAAGGTGGAAATTGGTCATAGGTGGGAGGGCAGGACAGAGCCAGAGTGCCTCAAACAGTCAAGCTACCTCAGTCTTCAGAAAGACATCCTGCCTGGAAAATTACAGTCATTAGTCGCTAGGCAACATTAAACTAACTTTGCAAGAGTATAAAATAAATGCCCCTACTGTTGAAGTCAGTCCTCTTGCCTGTCAAGTAAGAGGTCACTCCACCTGACCCCAGCTATTGTCTCTTGTCTTTATTTTCCTCATACCCACAGCTGCCATTTCTCTCCAGTCTACAACAAGAGACCAACAAGGTTCTCTACAAGATATGTGGGACAGTATCAAACATATGTGTATTTGGAATTTTAAAGAGGAGAGAGAAAAGTACAGTGGAAATAGTTAAAAAAAAATTACTAAAACTGCCCCAAATTTGTTTAAAAACCTTATGCTAGAGCTATAAGAAACTAGATAAAACCAAGAAAATCATAATTACAGTACTATACTGAATCTAATAGTATAAGATTTCTATCTTATAAGTATAGTATAAATCTTATAGTATGAGATTTTTAGGTAACCAGAGAAAAGTAGAAATATTTTGTACAAATGAATGACTAATGCTAACATCTGTTTCCAAAACAGTGTAAGATAATAGGCAGAAAATGTTTACAGTGGTTAAATAAAAAAGCAAATCCCAAGCCACAAATCTCTAACATCTCTTATGTAACAAAAAGGACACTTCAAACATGAAGGGAAAATGAAGATATTACTATGAAAAAAATGGAAATTTTATGTTTGCAGTATACTATCACTTCAAGAAATGGTAACATATTTAAGGACAATTATACTAGATAGATGATGTGATCTCTTTTAGAAAAGATTAATAGCAACTAATTGTCATTTTGTAGATAAATGGAAAAAGCCCTTTGACCAAACTGTTATACTTATATACATATATTTAAATGAAATTAAAAGACTTGAATATTTAAAGTACAATAGTACACTGTGGGATTATAAGGTAGAAATAAAATGTGATAATAAAAGGGTGGGAATGAAGTAAATGAAATCATACAGTTGTAAGAGACTTAAATGACTCTTTTCAAGTAATACAAAATAACCTATTACTTAGGTAATTTTTGCATCACTGACAAAGTACCCAGCACCCAAAGTTAAAAGAGAAAAGTTTTATTATAGTGCACAGGTTGTAGAGGTTTCATTTCATACTTAACTGACTCCAAGGCAGGGTGACATGGCAGAGGGGCATCACAGAGAGAAAGAGTCCATGGTGGTCAAAAAGCAGCAAAGCAGCAAATCACAACATTAAGTCTCTTTCTATCTTTTATATTCTATCCAGGCTACACACTCTTTGCGTGGGTACGACTCACACACAGGTTGGCTTTTCCAATTATCCACACCCAGAACTATGCCAAACCCATCAGTGGACTAATTTAGTAACTACACCCTTAATCATAGCATCACACACTTAACCCTAGCATCACACATTCTAGATACAGCCACCTCTGAAAAGCCCCAGCTACAAAGCTTTGGGGGGACATGTAGACACAAGTCATAACATTCTGCCTCTGGCTCCCCCCAAAGACTCATGCACATCCTTTTATGTAAAAGTAATTTAGTCCATCTCTAAGAGTTTCCAAAGTCCTATCAGTTTCAGCACTGCTGAAAAGTTTAAGTATAAGATGTCTGAGATTTAAGCCAAAGCTTTAACTGAAAGCTCCTGTACAAATGAAAAGATAGTTAAACACTCTTAAC